AGTACTAACAGCAGAGTCAAACTCAATTTGTAGATTCCTACACAGATGAGATCCTTAAACTGGCTAAAACATTAACAACTCAACATCGTACATTTACTATACATTATGCATCATGCATGAACATCTTTCCCCCTTTTACCAACATTTCCTGACTTCAATAATTTATCAGCTTTCTGCTTGTGGTGGATGGAAAAGTTGAACATGCACATTAAACACAACTACTCAAATGAACTGCATTGTTAAGATCGTTTCCTGGTTATGCAAATAGTTATGTTATCATCAGTTTTAAATTGGACATCCTTCTGAGACTTTTATTTATTCTTTTTGTTTTTATTCATTGACATTATGTATAAAGGTCTGCAGGGGAACGTTTTCTTTGGTGGGTTTTAAATTAAATTAATTTAAGTTGCAGTTTGTGCTTTCAGTTATCTCAACACCCTAATCTTTAGCTTCTGCCAGTTGTTAGTGAGGCATATAACAGGATTTTAAGCTCTAAGACTGGATGATTCCAGGCTTGAAATAGCTCCTCCCACTCTACAACATCACTGGGGAAAAGGATTCTTCACAGTTTATAACTGTTATTATACAAACCAGTAAGAGAGAGAGAAAAGCAAATATTGTCTACATGAAACCTGCAAAACTAATACTGAAACAAAAGTTGACTAAAAAGCCCTTCAGATGAAAACAAGTTACACATTTTCACTGCTCAGACTACATTTCTCTGTTAATATATTTATCACATTTGTATTTTGATTTATCTTTTTGATTAAATATAGATGATTTACTTACTAGCAGATAAGGAAAAAGCTCTGTTTTAGCACTATAATAATTTGTAATTACGTAAGGATGGATATGAAGTCCTTTAACCGAGAATAAGACCGAAATCATAGTCTTTGGTAGTCACACTCCACTAGACCAGTTAGCTGATGCCATAGGCCATCTCGCTAGCCATCTCTCGCCCACTGTAAGAAACCCCGGAGTGTTCCTGGATGGCTCTTTTAAACTTGAGAAACAGGTGTCCACTGTGGTAAAAAAACAGCTTTTACCAGTTGCGTCAGATTTCCAAAGCAAAGCCGTTCCTTC